CAGGCAGGTGGGCTCTGTAGTTTACACGTGGACATGCCTGCTGTAGCGTGCACACGCTGGGGAGAACTCTCAGCCACTAACAGACCAAACATCTATAAAATCCCTTCTGGAGTTGGAAATCCACTGGGTTTAGCCTCTGGTGTGTTTAGGTTCAAGAGTCTGGGGCAGACTTCATGAATGAGATCGACTCCAAAAGTTCATCAGTTTTAAACAAACATCCGTCGATTACTGTCTGAAGGTTTTGTTAAAATCCCTCCAATAGTTCTTGAAATCATTTGCCACAAAATGCAATTAATGACCAAATTAAATGAATCCGATTTGGGGATAACTCTTAGTTACCATGACAACAAGTTATGTCCCAGTAGTTCTCTGCCGAGGTTCATCAGCTGCTGTGTGCGTCATAAACCAGGATGACTCCAGTAAGGCTTTTTCATATGCTTTATTTTTATTTACACGCTTAACCAGTGAAATCCCTTTAACTGACGTCCTAAATCTCCCTCGCCGGTCCGCCGTGAGCATCCCTCTCCTTTAACCCAACGCTGCTGCACCTCTTTGTGGTTATGACCGTTAGAATGATCTAAAACGCCACCAATAAAAGTGTCATGAAGTCCTCTGACTGAGCGAAGACTTGGCTGTGAGATTTACGACCCAACGGGATCGCAGGATTGACGAGCCGCGCCGTTAGCAGTCGATTTTATAGACGTGTGTCGTTAAACACCGGGATTAGCATGATGGTCCTCCATCTGAGGGTCGGAGTGGCGCCGGTGCGGAGGGTGATGGATGTTCAGGACTTAGGATGGACGAGTCTACGTAATGTGAACGTCTGCAGAAAACAACCCCCCATGTGAGATGAGAGAACCCCTGAGACCTCACCGTCTGACCTGGAATCAGCTAAAGAACGGCCTGATTTACACAGGTGTACACCTGGACTGACCGATCTCTCCCATTGGCTCCTCCTCCTCCTCGTGGAGCTCCACCTGACCCATTTCTGTGAGCAACCAACCTCTGGGGCTGTCTGCTGTGGCTCACCAGCTCCCACAAGCCTCTATTATTTATGACAGACCCCACACAATCAGCGGCAGCTGCTCCTCCTGAAAGCATCGGGAGAAAACGGCGATCGGCAGCAGCTCATGAAGGCTTTTCTGAGCCTCAGATCTGGCTAGATGAAGGAGACAAGTTTGACACGGCCGGGGTTTCTTCACCTTCACAAAGATCTGAACCTCCACCCGGCGACGACAGCGATGGCGGTTGTGGATCTGCTCAACATCACAGAAGGCTGAGTGGAGGGAAAACAAAGTCCTGACATTAAAGAAGAGCTGTGGAGTATTACAAACATCTGACTGTGTCTTTCACTCTTCTATTCCTTTGCTCCCTCTCATCTGAGGTTGGGTTGCAAACCGACCCAGGTGGAAGTCCCAGACATCCCAGTCGGCAGTAACAAATAAATAATCGCTCCTGGGAGTTCTGGGAAAACCTGGAGGCGTCCAAAACCGATGAAACCACCTCGGCTCACTCCTTTTGAAGAGGAGGAGCAGCGACTGTGATTCAAGCTCCTCGCCTTTTATCTCCTGCTCCTTCTTCAGAACAGCTGATCCGGGTAACGCCACGCGGCTCACCTCTCCATTTTGCCATCACTCAGGAACAACACGCCAAGAAACCCGAACTCCTCTGCAGGAGGTAGGTTCACTCCCGGTCCAAAGGGAGAGTTGAGACTCTGTCCAGGTGAGAGCCATGACCGCATGCTAGCTGACTCTCATAGAGCTAGGTAGCATAAATATGTAAATATGTATTTATAAACAACTTTTCCTCAACAGAAATAAGAGAACGGGTCGATTAAACCTTTGATGTGAAGAACAGAGGAACAACAGCCAATCATATCAACTGTTGTTCTGCGATGGACCAATCAGTGGCTAGAGCCACACAGACGCTAGCAGCTAACGGCTAATGTTTGTGTAGCGGTAGCCTCTTACTGCAGGTAACAGGAAGGACATAACTGGTAATAAACAGAGTCAAATCCAAACGGGACAGAAAAAGATGGAGGACACAGTCGATGACATCACTGACGATAAGGAACAGGTGTGTGGACGTACTTCAGCTGCTGAAAGTCTGATGAAAAACAAAGCAGCACGGCGCTGATGGCGAGCGCTCGAGTGCACTTTCTGAATAATCACCTTTTATCGTTCTGACTGAAATAAAACGCCTCATTTTAGTTTATTATCATGTTTGAATCTTTTATGTCTGAGTCCCAGAGCCATACTCTCCCTCTCCTATCTTTTTATTCCACCACTTCCTGTTTAAAGCCAGATCTTCGTAGCGTCTCTGGATTTGCCTCGGCTCGCTGCTGCCAGGGATTCAGGACTCGCTGCCAGACTCTTCTGCTTGGCGTCCATTCCTCAGATCTTTACCGGGCATTAAACAAACCTCAGGTGGAGACGGTGGAGCTGGAGAGGGTGTTGAGATGAATAACTCATCTCGTACAGCTCTGAAAGGGCTGGCAGTCGTTGGTTTGGATGCTTTCAGGAACCCTGAGAGGTCCTGATGGATTCTGCAGCAGCCTCTCATTTACTGCTGCAGAAATCTTCTCTTGGCCTCTAACGTGTCGTTACGGGAGAAAAGAGGCTTCAGCGACCTCACTTCCCCCGGCAGCTCCGCTCTCTTTACCGGTTTTTGGGTCTGAATCAGCACATAAACCGGGCCAGACTGCTACTGCTGCTGCACTCGGCGCATGAGCGGATGCAGAACACCGCAGCTGCTGGCGACTGAGCACCTTGCCGCGGGGGAGGTTGATGTTTGCATGTGGAGCGAGCATCGACACATGAACTAACACAAACTTTACCTGTGGGATGTAGTCACAAGGTCTTATTAACCTCTTTCTGTTTGTCTGACACAAAATATCTCATGAACCATCAGATTTTAATCTACAACCCAATGCAAGATGGCCGCCACAGCTAATTAACTTTAGCCAACACAAAATGGACCATTGCTTAATTTTTTCAATGTTACAGATAAAGAAAATGACAATTTAGAGTCTGAGGATAACTAAACACAGAAAAAGTCAGATTCTTATGTTGTGTCAACTCAACAACTTAAGTCTGGAAAACATTTCTTTCATATTTAGATCAACATCAGATACTTGAGTCTTTAAGGTGGGTGGGAGGAGCCAATAGGATGGGAGGGGCTTTGGGTCCTAGACATGATTGATTATAATTGTTGTGCGGTTTGAGCCAATGAGCTCACTGACCTGACTGGGGTTTGTCATTGTTTGAATTTGAACGATTCCAGTTCCTCCGATCCTCGATTCCGATTCTTTCAAGAGTCAGACTGGAAAAGAGTCCACGTTTTAAACGAGTCAGCTGACCAGGTCCTACGTGATGAAATATGTTCTCCATGAATCTGAATCCTATGAACGTTCCAACGTGGATCTACACCTTGGAGCGCCTCGGCTCATTTTCCGTGACGCGCGGTAACGCACACACTTGGTACTCGGCGGCTTCGCCTTCTGGTCGGCGGACTGGGCATCGAATTTAAATATTTTACCGATTCTGGGAAAAACTGTTGATGCCAGCCCCACTAATAAGGCGAACGTTTAGAGAAAAGACGGGGTCATTCAGAATCATTTACTTCCTGAATCTAAACCCCAGAGTCTGTTAGACTTCCGGTGTGTTCCCGCTCTCGTTTTCATAAACGCGTGTTTGTTTAAAGGACTTCTCTCGTTTGGGAAGCTCCTCATTTTCCCACCAAACAAACACGGCGTGACCCTTAAATCCACGCCAGCTCCGTGGAAACGTCTCCCCTCCTTCCAGCCGTTGCAGGATGGTCGAACGAAGCAGGAGTTCTTCCTCTTCCCGCTCCAGACCCTCGTTTGTCTTTGTCCTAACAGGACAGTAGATTGTTTTCCTCCTTGTGAGCATGTTTCCACACAATTTGAATTAATTGGATTGTAAATTGATCCTACTTTGGAGCTGAATCCCTGGAAGCCGGCGCTCTGCCTGCAAACGGCGGTTTAATCTGAATACTAAACGTTATTAAAAGCCTCCCCAGCTCCAGCTGTGTAGGACAGTGTGTACCTGGTAATGAGAAAAAGGCCCCGAGGGCCAGGTGCACTCATTGTGCACCAGCGTGGCATAATTCAGTAATTAATTGCCTTAGTGCCTGGATGGCGCTATAATGGTTCGAAGATAAACAACGCGACTTGCCGTTACCGGAGCTTCACCAGCAAACAGCCGAGCGGAAGGACGCGGAGTCAAACTGTAATGTTTTTATAATGAGTCGATAAAAGCTGCAGGCCGCCAGCTCCCGCTAACGTTAATTCAGTCTGGAATTAGTTACTGCCCGAACATAATCCCCAAACCATGTATCAGCCTCCGTTTATCTGTAACCAACTGTTCTGACTTTTCTAATGTCACAAAGTAAGTGAGAAAAGTTCATTTTTCATCAGGAAAACAGGATTTTAGTCCCCGGAAGGGTTCTCCTGTGGGAGGCCACAGCTGTAGGGTTCTTCTGAGGGTCTCATCAGCCGCTGAGCTGCTGCCTAGCAGACGTGGGATTATAATTTACCATGTCGGAAGATGCTTTGCATGTTTTTGCTTATAAACTCTGTTATTTTAGTACAGAAGGGGTTTGATGGGAGCAGTAATCTACAGGTGCTGAAGGGTTAAAGGTTCCAGAGGGAGAGGAAGTGCTTCAGTTCTGCGATTAAATAATAAAGTCAAGAGATTCGATGCCTCATTTATAACCATGTTTATTAGTTATTAGTTCACAACGACCACGACCTTCTAACCAACGGCCGACGTGTTTCTGAGTGAGACCGTTTGGTCCTGATGAGAGCAGCAGGGGAAGCTTCCTCGCTCATCCCTGATCGCCTGGGTCTGGGCCCTCGGATTCATTCGAAATTAAATTCATGAGAATTATTTCTGATTTAAATAAACCAGCTGGCGTTTCATGGCGCCAGCACGCCTGGACATGCGTGGGGGGGGGGGGGGGGGGGCACGTAGATCTAGTCAGGAGGTTTGACCCTGGCTTTTCATTGGACGAGTTAACGTCGCGCAACGTCTGCAAGGCAAATATGGAGGGTGTGTTTTCATTGGCTACGTGTCCCAGAGGCGTGGTGTTGTGGTGAGTTTACGTTTCAGGGCTGTGTTTTTACGCGCTGCGCTTCCACAACACGTCAAGTCGTCAGTTCAGATTTGGCCCGACAGGAAGTTAAACGTGGAAGCAGTGCAAAGCATCCGGTAACTTTCAAAATAAAAGGCATGCGGATTTTGTTTAACGAGTAAAAACAGGACATCGTTGTTAGCGACACCTTCACGGCCGAGGTAAACAGAAGAGAAGACAAAGCTTTGGATGAATGCGGCCATCTTCCTCGTTGCTCGTTATCGCGTGAACTGAAATCAGGCGTGGTTTTGTGATTCTCCAGCTGTTGCTGCTGATTCACTCCGAGTGGAAAGCACCGCTCCGCTGACCTCTTGCGTTCAGCGCTGCTTACGCGTTCGGCGGAAAGGTCAGGTGAAGCACCAACTTTATGGTCGCCTTCAAACAAATATCTGGTTTTCCGATCTGAAACCTGAAGCCTGTTCCTCCTGTTTTTGCACTACGAAGGGTGAGAGGGTTCATGATCTAAGCTTACATCTTCAAATCTGGGAGCTTCATGTCCAAAATGAGTTATGAGAGATTTCCCTGTTTACTCTGACCTCCTCACTAATGTCCTGTTGGACGTGTTCAGCAGTCGGCGATGTGTGTGGCTGATTCTCACGCAGCTGCGACTTTCGACCACAGATTGTAAACGACGTTCCTGAAGGCATCAGGGTCACCGGGCTTCACTGTCACACAGGGTTGTCACGGTAACCGGTGTAGCGGTAAACCCCGGTAAAAAAGTTGACAATAATAAAAACCGTCTTGTTTTTAAAAAACTATATTATCTCGGTGGATTACCATGGCTGCGGTGTAGGCGCGGTGACCCTTACCAGCCACCGTATCATCTGCTGAAGTTGCCGGCGGCACATGCGCACTTTGTTGTTTACAACCAAAACTTTCTTGAAGCTAAAGCTGAAATAACGGCCAAAGGAGGAGACGGCGGCGCTCAGGACATTTATTATCCCTCAAAGAAGACAAAGTGGGAAGTACGGGCATCTTTTGGATATCTGAAGAATGCCGAGGGACAGCTGATAGAAGACGGCTATCCTGTTTGCAGCACGTGCAGAAAAAGTGTCTGTGAAAGGCAGCAACGCTTCAAATCTCATGACACATCTGTGTGACCATCACCCACAACTCTACAGTCAACGCAAGGCAAGCTAACGTTAGCGTTTTAGCTAAAATGCGTGATCCGAGGATTTGGGTTGAGGGAGAATGCAACGAGTCGCTATATAAAGCAGCCGCAGCGCCGCTACCTGCATATAAACCGTGTCGCGGACACCGCCATGTTGAAATGACGCTATGCATTACGGGGCTCCCAGGGACAGATAAGAGTTGGTCTCTCTCCGAGAATAATTATGAATTTAACAATGATTACTGCCTGATGACATTTTCCCACATCTGCAAAGCTCACTGGAAGGACACAAACCGAGGACGATATTTTCCTGATATAGGGTTTATTACTCAAGTAAGGGTAAAAAAGTATCTGATTAGAAGGCTACTTGAGTACTGAGTATCATCTGGTCTAATATTTTTAAATGATGACATCAAACAGACATAAAATAAGAAGTTATGGGCAAATATTGGTATTTTAAAGACTAAAGGGGAAAAATGTAAACAAATAAACAACATAATTACAAAATAACACACTTTAGGCTAAATTTAGACACAAACTGAGGACAATATTTTCCTGATATAGGGTTTATTACTCAAGTAAGGGTAAAAAAGTATCTGATCAGAAGGCTACTTGAGTACTGAGTATCATCTGATCTAATATTTTTAAATGATGACATCAAACAGACATAAAATAAGAAGTTATGGGCAAATATTGGTATTTTAAAGACTAAAGGGAAAAAATGTAAACAAACAAACAACATAATTACAAAATAACACATTTTAGGCAAAATTTAGACACAAACTGAGGACAATATTTCCTGATATACAGGGTTTATTTAGTTTCCTGAAAATGTAACACGTTTAAAAAAAATGCCGCGATAATACCGAAAACCGTGGTAATTTTGGTCACAATAACCGTGAGTTTAAATTTTCACACCGTGACAACCTTACTGTCACGTCATTGGACAGGAAATCCGTTGCATTTAACCACTTCTAAATGTTGCTGTTGTTCCTCTCCAGTCTGCTCTGCTCACACAGCGGAGGCTCGGAGGAGTCGGGACGCTCCTCACAATAAAGATGACAGGATAAAGAGAGAAAGAGGCGAAGAATGAACGAGAGAGCAAAAAGAATGGAGGGGGAGATTGAAGGAGATGTGAAAAGGCCAGAGAGGGACGAGGAGCCACGTCTCCCTTGTCTTGACATTTCTCCCCGTCTCCCCTGAGAACAAATACCCCGATATGAACGTTCCAGACTGATGGTGGAGTGGGACGGGGAGGAGGGCTTGTGTGATGTGCATTAGTTGTTACGGGCTCGGCGTGTAATTTGGTTTTGGTTGATGTAATTAAAGGGTTCAGGCCTCAGCAGTTTTCTCCAGAATAATTTGTTTAGGAAGCGCTGATTCCTCGCAGGCCGCCGCCGGCGACTCTGCTGCAGCTGTTGCTGGTGGTCATGGCAACAGGAGGGCCCACAGGTGTCCACGTTAATATCTCTGCTCCCCAAGTGAACTGCATTTATATGCAGCGCTTTGCAGCAGGTGCTGTTTATCCACGCGGCGGAGGAGAAGTGAGCTGTCCCAGAAAGGAGGAGGCTTCTGGGGAGAACAAAAGGTGTCTTCCAGCTCTGCGCAGGGATGCATTCGTGTTAAATCAGCGCGGCGTGCTGCAGATGAAGAACGAAGCTGACCTTTATGTCCTGCTGTCCTCTGGGACAACCTGCCGGGCAGAAACCAGAAACCAGACACCAGCGGAGAACCAGAAAACTTTCCGCTCCTCCTACTTTGTGCTCTACATCTATGTTCTGCTTGGAATTGAACCAACAACCTCTTAACAATGTTTGGATTTAGACCAGAAGTCAGCCTTGGCCTTCAAAGATGTCCAATGAATTAACAACCGTTGACTTCTAATTGAACCCTTCGGCTGCATTGGATGGATGTTTCTGTCATTGTGAAGCGTTTGTCATAACGGCAGGTGACATCACACAACGGGGGCGGAGTCTGTAGAAAAAACACAGTCTTTGGACCATTAGTTGGATTAAAGTCTGAGCTACACACACACACACACACACACACACACACACACACACACACACACACACACACACACACACACACACACACACACACACACACACACACGAGTCGTTTAACCCTCCCACCGTCCTAATGGGTGTGACCCCACGAGGAAAGTTGACCGTTGAGTAGGGTTGATGGTTTATCCATTGGGTCCATGGGTCTAATGATTAATTAATTTCATAATCAATGTCAGTGTGTGGAAGACTTCTTTAAAATGGCCACCAGGATACAGCTGCCATTGGGCCCAGGTGCTCTCCGGACCAGCTTACAGGTGATGCTGATCAGGTACCGGACCGTCTCCGTCCGACACACCAGGAGCTCAAAACCAGAGCTGGTAGCAGGAGATGTTTGTCTTCAGAGGAGATTTGGTAAAAACCAGCAGTACCATGTTGTTTTTTTACTTTGTTCTATGTTCATGAGGCCAGGCCACTTAGCAAAGGTCATGCAAATGTTCTCGATGCCATTCAGTCTTAAAGTGTTTTTAATGACTTCTCATTTTGATTCACACTGGCCACCGACTCCTCCCAAAGTGGTCTCACTTACCCTAAACTCACACTTCCACAAGCGAGTTTATTCTAACGTGCTGAAAACTCCTAATTAAAAATCCTCACAAACGTCTCAAAGAGCCTTTTCTTCCTCGTCTCCGTCCCGAATCTCGTTTTCCATCAGTCCCGGCAGTCTCGGCCCGGCGAGATTCCGGCCTTATCCTGAGAGCTTTTCCGTGTCAGGTGGTTGTTTCTTGGGCGTGTTGGTCCCTGCGTGGTGTCTGATAAGAAGGGAGGCTTTATCTGCCTCCAGAGGCCAAACCTCAGTGTGTTGTGGCTGATCCTGCTGCTCCACTTCCTCTCAGACGGGGTTGGTAATCTGCCCTTCTCGTCAGGTGTTCTGGGGGAACGCTGCAGCAGGCTGTGGGATAAAACAAAACAAACACCACGGATGAACAACGGTTGATACCTGGTGGGTTTTTTATATCGTGATCTGTAGATTTTGGGAATCACTGAATCTTTTAAGCTGCATCGATTGCTTTTCTTGTATTAAATGGCGGGATTAATTTAGATTGAATCCTGGAGAACATAATCAATTCAGCCTTTTATCTGGATGGACGGCTGAAGAACGGAGGAATAAAAGGGACAGAATGAAGCCTATTAGGCAGGAACCAGAGGCTTTATACCTGTTTGGTACTGATGTCACCAGCGATCAGCTCCCATAACTGAGTGACTGTTTGGTATTGATTTCACCAGAATAATAAAACGTAATCCTAATTCCACTAACACTGCTCTTTTAGCTTCTGAGTGTCGTGTAGGCTTTTATTTTGAAGGAATAGAAACAGTTTTTGTCTGAGATGTGCAACTGAAAGACCTCACTGGGATGAAATGAACCTTTGGCTTAAATGTGTGAGTGTAGGAGTTGGGCTGAGTGGTTAGCATCATCATGCTAATAGCCAGTGCATCCATGATGATGCTGAGACAGGTCCATTTGGTTCTGATTCTGGTGGGGTTAATAGAGATTTACTAACATCTAAACAGATGAAAGCTCTGAAGTAAAAGAATCAGTCCCAACATTTTACAGATGAACGGTTCTGGTTGTGGCGTTCCCATCGCTGCGTCCTACAGCAGTTTACCAGGTCGGTTTAGTTCCATTTCCTACATTAAAACCACTCGGATAGATCTGATGCTCTTTATTTGGGCGAGTCTGAACACGATGCAGCATCAGCCAGACTGACCAACAGTCATCGGCGTCTCTAATTGAGTCTGTGGATGTCTCCGTCGGTCTACAACATAAATGTCAGGGCTTCCTGTGGGCGTGGTAATTTAATGTCAGCTCACTCTGTCTCTTCAAGGCCAATTAGATCAAACTCAACCCCAAACCGGGAAAACAAGGAAGCGCGGCGCCGGTAAATGAGATGGAGTTGTACGTTTGTGCCAGTCAGACAGAAAAAACGAACCAGAGACAGTTTAATAACCAACCTGCACCCGCTTCCCTAACCTGATTCTCGCGTGGAGGATCATGATGGTTTATTATGGGTCAGGTGAGCATGAATGAATGAATGAATGAATGAATGAATGCTGAACTAGACCGTATCTTCTTTGTTTCTGCCTTCAGCTTTCTTTACTTTCCGTTGACCACGTTTGCCTTTAAAAGTAGTTTCGATGTCCGTTAACCCTTTTCAGCCATTCACAAGCGTTTCTGTTTAAAGGTCAACTTTTGTCTTAATGACTGTAAACGCCGTCAGGAACAGCCTCGGTTCAGAGAAATGGTTTCAAGCTAAATCTCTTCGGTCTTCAGAGGAGCCGAAGCAGAACTCCCAAAACTTTATTTTACCAGCCTCTTCATCACAGATCCTCACGTGGACTTCAGCATTTGTTTGGATCGAACTTCCGCGGTTATTTAAATGGAATTCTATGGGTGATGTTGGAATAGTTCCACTCCAACACGGACTGTCTCTATCCCAGAGAGCTCCACTGGCAAATCATCATAAAATGATAAAAACCAAGGCTACAGCAGCAATGTGCTGTAGGTGTGGATCCATCATACACCAGGGGCGTGTCCAGGGAGTGGCCTGGGGTGGCACATGCCACCCTTGGAATCTGATTGGCCACCCCAGGTGCCAACACACTAATTCCATGCTTTCGTTCTTTTTAAACACAGAAACAGTTTTGTTTACCTTCACCGGCAGCCGTCGGCGAAACTGTAGCTACAACACAGGTGAACAAAACTGTTCCTGTGTTTAAAAAGAACGAAAGCATGGAATTAGAACCACGACACAGCAAGAACACACCTAAGATGCCAACACACTAATTTACCTTCAAATAGGCTTTTCATTGTCCACAAAAGGTTTGGGGGTAAAACAAAAAAAAGCATAACCATTGGTGCTACCCATGCACAAAGTTGTGCCTCACCTGGGCCACCCCAGTTTAAAAGATCTGGACACGCCACTGTCACACAACTCTAAAAGAACGACCCTAGAGTCGCTAACCGTGTAACGTGATGCTAATGGTAACTTTTCCTATTTTTAAGTCACTTTCTTGAGTGCTGAAGCAACCCTTTACGGGGTTAATGAAATGTCACTGATACCCCACTGCCCCTTGTGGCCAGAATACCACACTTGCAACTTCAGAGTGCCGGTCCGGTCTCTGTCAGACTTAGAAAAGTAGAGCTGACATACGTGGTGCTGCAGTCTGCTTCCAGCAAGTTTCCTGCACGTTTTAGATCATGAACACGTCTGATTTGTTTAATTTGGTGAAGAATGACTCCTGTAGACACTAGCCACGTTTACATGCGTATATTTAATCGGATTGAATGCCCATTCAGATCGAAAATTCTGCATGTAAACATGTCAATCGGAATATTCTGATCAGATTCGGCCCGATCGGATTGAAATTTCAGTCCGATTGAGAGGGGTGGTTTATTCCGTTCCTCATTCCGATTGACGTGCATGTACACAGCCATTCGGATTGTTGGGGTAACATAAAGCCCACTGCGCATGTGTGCAACAGCCAGCGGGCCTTTCCGCTGTCATTTGGACTGCCTGACTTCAAAAATGACGGCGTAATTAACGAGTGGCGGCTTTTAAATCCGACGACAAGCCGTCCCCGTTTCAGTAATATTTAATTCAGAACTTGTATTTTGTGGAAGTAAAATAAAAATCTGATTATTGCACCAATCATTCGACAAACATGTTCAAATATGAACTGGAAACACGCAGGTTTATCGCGGGGGTCGCAGCGCACGGATCCCCGTTTCTGTCAGCTTTGAACGCAGCAGTTTCTGCAGCAGGTGATGGAGACGCGCTTGTAAAGAACACAGGATAATCTGGGTTTTACAAACCTGATTGGTGGCTGGTGTTGGGTAGGAAAACGTCCTCGGTTAAATACTCTGGACGACAGTAAAGTCCGTGTTAAAAGCACGTAAACGCAGTTGACCTGAAACGCGGTTCGTTAATGATGAACACAGGCTTCTAAACCTTCTGAACATCTTCTGTTATTTTGTTTTGAACAGATTTTTCTCAACAGTTTCAGCTGATCGTCACATGTTATTAATAATAAGCCACAACAGAGCTCAGTAGTAAAACATGAGTCTAACCCCCCCACCCCCGCTGTGTGCCGCAGCGCAACAGTACAGCTGTCACCTCAGACCCGCGGACCAGCTGATCAAGAGGCAGAGACATAACCCTCCCTTATTTTAATCAACAATAAAATGCAGCAAAGCATCGCTCTGCAGTTATTCGCTGAAGAAAACGTAACTTCTATGAGCTAAATAAAAATATTAAATAGAATAAATGGATCAGGAAAGCGGGAAGAATAGTTATTTCTGTTTTTACATTTTTCTTTTCGTTCCATGGCGTTTGTTTACAATTTTTCTTTCGGGAAAGGCAACTCTGCGCATGCTCAACCTATTTAATCAGATTAAATGCTTGGTGCATATGTACGCACGGCACGATCGGATCATTTCAGTTCGTGTCCATGTGAACAGAGATTCGGAAATTCCGCTCAACCAAGATTTCAATCGGATTGAGGAAATTTGGCACATGTAAACGCAGCTACTGATGAAGGCTGGGAGACATTTCTGCTGTTAGATGAAGGTGTTAAACAGACAAACGCACAGCGAGGAGATAAATATCACTTTTGGTTTTACTAAATGAACACCAGGGGGTGCTAAAAGCGAGCCTGAACTACATGGTATCCCTTTACGCTCATTAATAATCAGATTGCTGCTTTGTTGAATCGGTTTGAAACATAAAAAACGTTGTTGAGAAGAATGACCTAATGTGTGAGATGTTTATAAAATAATTGGAAGACGCTCTTTAAACTGGGGGCTTCTGGAGAAGGCAGAACACATCAGATTAAATAAAGCCGTGTTGTAAGATTATAATCATCAGCAGATTAACGTGCTCTCTCTCTCTTCCTGACGTGTTGCTTTCTGTTCTCTCTCTGAAATCCTGATGCACATCTTTCATTCCCCGTCTGCGTGGCGCTGATTCAAACCTTGGAACCCTCGTTTCTCTGCTGTCAGCTGTTTCTGCCGGCTGAAACATTTGTGACACTTGATGTCAGAAACAGCTGATTTATGACTTCTGTAGCACCGACCCTCCTTTCTGCTTCCATTTCAGGATGGTTCTGTTGCTACACAGATGATTTGCAGCCTTTCGTGTGACATCGACCCTGCAACACAACTGAGTTGTTTGGGGGCCGTCCATCTTGCTCCTGCTGAGCTAGCTGGCCATTCTTTGCTCTCCGTACCTCTGTGTGGTTCTGCACAGCCGTCTCATCGACTGTTGCTGGCGTTGATTAACTCGACAGGCGTCCCTGGAGCTTGTTATCCTGTCCATTTCCTGAGCGAGTGCTGAAGTCATTAGCATTGGGGTTGGTGTGAACAGCTTTCAGCAGGTGTTACAGTAGCTGGTTTATCTCCCCGCACCTGTGCTGCTGTCGGAGGATGCTGCAGCACCAAAACGCCGCCGGGCTGTTCGGTGTCGGTGCAGCTGTTAGGAATCAGACTGTCACTCCCAGTAAATCCTCTACAGACGCCGACTTCATCATCTAACCCTGCTTTTTACAAAGATGAGCCTCAAAACACGAAGTTCTGCAAAACTCCATGAAGAGTTTGGTCTATTTCAGGTAATGTTTGATCAATAACTTCTAAAGATTTGATTTTTTGTGGAGATGAACTTGATGGTCGCCACCAGCTGGTGTCTCTTCTTCAAAACCACTTTAAAAAGGAACAAACGTGTATTTTTACAGCTGGCCTGTGAGCTTCAGCCCTGTTTAAAATAAATCAGATCTGTGTGGGGTTAAAGCTGGATGCAAGCCTCAGCATGCTTGCAGAAGAAAACCAAGATTCCTGGACGACCTCGGCTAATGAACAGCTCCTGACGCCACGACAACGAGCCACCGTCCAGCTTTAATCCTGACAAATTGCCATTGCAGGTCCTTTACTAAATCCCTCTTTTCTGCCTCGCCTGCAAATTCTCCGGTGTGCCGAAGCTCCGAGACACGTTCTGCAATCTATATCCTCCCCAGCAGGGCTCATTATCCTGTGTCAACAGGAAGTAGAGAGGTGCTCTCTGTCTGTTCTACATGCAGGAGTTGCGTCGAGCTGTTCCCGTGTAATCCAGCTCGGGTGATCCCCAGCAGCTGGCCCTGGTGATCCACTTCAGGAGCTGGAGAGCTGCAGGCCTTCGGTGGAGGAGCTTCGGTTGTTTCCGTCTCATTGCAGCTGTCAGACATCCTCTAAAGGCTGCAGGAGGATCAACGCGTATTGTTTTGGCAACAGCTGAGGACACAAGGGAAAGAAAGCCGTCCTCTAAATGAGAATGAGGTCCATCTGCAGAGAAATATCCAAAAACAGCCCATAATGGTCTCTTGTATGGCTCAGAACCAGCTTTAGTTTCAGATCCACAAACTCCTCTCACTCCTAAAGTGTGTCGGCATCTCTCAGGTGTTGTTTTCTAGCCGACATTGTCGGTCTCTCGTGGTTCTTGAGGAGGTCTGACTCCAACATTGCTTCAGTTCTGTGAGATTTGCAGCTATTCGGCTCGTCCAAAGTCCCGCCACAACTTTTCCGGTTCCTGGTTCCAGATCTTTGTTAGGCTTTATTAACCAGGCTGGTCCAAAGTTTAGGACCATGGCCTCAGACTCAGTCTGGCCCAAACCATTACCCTTCTCCACCATGCTGACAGCAACCATCAGCTCCCATCAGTGTTAGAAACTTCTTGTTCTGTTGAAGCGTCTCCTGTTTTGACCTTTGACCCCTCATGAGGCTCTAACTGTTGGTGAGGAATTTTAAGCGGCGTTCTCAGAAGCGTCTCCAGAACGTGTCTACGTGTTTGCAGACCTTCTCGGTTTTCTTGTTGCAAGGTCTCTCTCTCGCCTGACAGGGACGTTAAACGTGTAACGGGTTTCTGGAGCTCCTCGGTTTAGTTTTATGAGTCTCAACATCCGTCTGGCTGGTTTGGTGCAAGTTGTGCTTTGCAGACTTTTTAAACCTGTTCAGACTTGCAGCGAGTCGACAGAGAGGCGCTGCGGGTTGCAAGAACACTAATAATCCTCAGGAATGTGTTTGCAGCAGCGGGAGCTCACAGCTTCGCTTCACTCAGAGAAATAAACTCTGGCCAGAGAGGTCTAGACCTGCAGGTCCAGTTCAACGACTTTAGCAGATAAACATAAAATGAACACGTCAATCAGCAAGGAATCGACCCGCTGTAGAGGCGGAGCTGGCGTTGGGGCCAAGAACATTAAAGTAGTTTAATCAAACAGAAACGGGAAAACCCAAATGTGTCTCCGTGCTTCACTTTGGCCCTGTCCACACGTAGCCGGGGATCTGCCAGAACGTAGATATTTTTCTACGTTTTGGCCTGTCATCCACACGAAAACGGAGTTTTTTCACACGAAAACGGATCTTTTTAAAAACTCCGGCCAAAGTGAAGATCTGCGTTTTCTCCGTTTTGGGTGTCTGCGTGTGGACAGACAAAACCGGAGTTTTAAGGTCCGCAACGTCACTTTCCGCGACAAAAAAATGCTGACATCACGTGTGCGACCTGTGTTTACACTAGCCGACAGCATGGATGCCCTCAGAGCTGCGCTCGCTTTATCAATTGTCCAAGCGCTTTTTGCTTGTTTGTTTTTGCAAGCGGAATTACTGCTCCTTGTGGAAGACCACAGACGAAGGACGAGGTTAAGAACGGGGGAAGTACTGCCACCTACAGGTCTGGCATGTGCTTAACAACGTATTTATCCGGGTACGTGTGGACAGAGTTGTTTTTAAAACGAGGTGGTGTGGATGCAAGTTTTTGGAGGGGCGGATATTCGTTTAAAAAAAAAACCCGGCTTCGTGTGGACTAGGCCTTAGATGCGCCGCTGTGGCGATAGACGTAGAAACCATCTTCGCTCCTCTGATTCTTTCTTGGCTGCAGATGAGTTTTCAGAAGCGCTTCATCAGATTTAGTAATCCGTCCATTTCCTGTGTTTGGTTCAGAATGTGGATCAGTTTTCTAGCCACGTCCATCTCAATAAGACTCGTGCCGCAGCTTCTGTGTGGAACTGGAACTGATTTGAAAAAAGAGATGGAAGTAGCGTGGGAAAAACCTCAATAGAGGTGCAAAAACACAGCAAGAGAAAAAAAGCCCAAACGATGATTACGGTGATCCAAGACTTCAAGGTTGCCATTAGCAACAAGACAGAAAACTTCAGAAACAAAAACGACTACAAAAATACTCCCGATAGCGTGTCAACAGCCACTGAAGACTCACAACGATTCACTACAACCACATGAAAGCTGCTAACTAAGGAGATGTTCAGGTCGGATCAGGGCGCTTGCTTCCTCTACTCATGATGGCCTCAGTTTAGAAAAATAGAGTTTACCGTCTTTCAAAACGCCGAGTTAAAGGCCAGTCTAAGATCAGAATATAGCCGCTGTTCAAGTGACAGCAGGAACACACCCTGGTTATTTACGTAGGGGGCGGGACTTAACCAGATCCAGCCACTAGGGGGCCAGTTGTCCTGATACTGGTTTGAGGCACATCAACTCTATTTCTCTGAGCAGAGGCCATTCAGGAAAAACTAAATTAAATAAATGATGAATGACCCGCACTTGTATAGCACCTCTCAGAGTCAGGACTCCAAAGCGCTTTACACTGCAGTGTATCATTCATCCATTCACACACACATTCACACACTGGTGGTGATGAGCTACGATGTAGCCACAGCTGCCCTGGGGCGCACTGACAGAGGCGAGGCTGCCGAGCACAGGCGCCGCCGGTCCCTCCGACCACCACCAGCAGGCAAGCTGGGTTAAGTGTCTTGCCCAAGGATACAGCAGCAGATTTCTTTCCGGAGCCGGGATCAAACCTGCAACCTTCCGATTACTGGACAGCCCGCTCAACCTGTTGAGCTACTGCTGCCCCCAAATAACGACTTTCACGCAGAAAAACAGCTGTAATTCCCATAAATGCCTTTATTAAAGGCTGATTTGAACGAAATGCTGGTTCGTTTCCTGGGTTTGGTTTTTTACAGACGAGAATCAAGAGTGTGTGTGTGTGTGCGTGTTACTGTGGTAATCATTTCATCACACACACTCCCTTTAAGTCCGTAAAGGGTGGGTGGGCGGTGCCACTGCCTAGAGGCAGACCCTCCATCTGAACTAAGCCTTTTCATTCCTCCAGTAACAGAAACCTTCCTGATATGAAGAAATCTGGACTTTCAAACGCCCTCCAGCTGAAGCGTTAGCTGCTGGCAGCATTAATGAGTTGTTTCGTTGTCTCACTGATATCTGACAGGAAGTTAGCGGGCTAATTGTTTATTCTCTGTGCCGTTAGTGTCGCTGACAGGAGGCAGACTGCTTACTCGCTTTGGTCACTGAGCCTGCAGCTGTCGCTGCTCTGGTTCTGCTTAAAACTCCTGTTACTGGACTCGGTTCTGCTTCACATCGCCAGGCAACAGCACACACTCCATCATCCTGCACCCCTTCTGTGGTACTTGAACCTCCTCCAGTCCTCTCCTGTCATTTCAGGCAATATTCTGGTGTTTAATTGGCATTTTGAATCTTGATAGCATTAAACGGAAAGGAGCAGTTTAGCATTAGGCTTAGTGGGACTTCAGCTCAATCAGCGTTGATGTCAGCGGAAAGTTACCCCCGTTGTTTAACTATGACTCACAGCAGAGGGGGTGTTAATGCATGAAGGTTAAACTTGATGAATTATGCAAAGCTGTTGCAGTGTGGCTGAGAATCCACCAACCATCGGGAGGAAAGAATATTTAATTTCAAAAGGGTAAACCTTTAAACGCTCTTTTCTAAAACAGCTGATGGGTTGTCCTCGACGAACGTTTGATGTTTATGAGGTCTGACGCTGTGTCTGATTCCGTTTTTGATTTGTTCGTGGTGCTTAACATGGTTCATGGTTGTTTTCGGCAATGTCTGCTGATGAAACTTCCCTCAGGTTCTTAAAATCATCCCGAAACCGGGCTTCTCGGTTGGCGCGCTGAAGTTGAGGCACACTGTGAAGTTCCACTAAAATGACCCTGAAGTTCTGATGGTGGAAACACGCCCCATGATGCTAATATGGCCTAGGGCTGCATGGTGGCGCAGTGGTTAGCACTGTTGCCTCGCAGCACGAAGATCGCAGGTTCGAAACTCCGGTTTCCCCCACAGATCACAACATGCCCTATAGGTTATAAATTGTAAATCGCCTTGGATAAAAGCGTCTGCTAAATAAATAAACATAAACATAGCCTGGAAATTCATCCTAAAAAGTCTGGTGATGCCAAAGCCGTTTCAGACAAGCTGCACTGATGGAGCGCTGTGATTGGCCCACCAAACCAATAGAAGGACTAGAAGAACCTGCAGTCTGTCTCCATTTCTAGGCTACGTACGTCTCATAACTGGTATAAACATTTGCTCTACTAACGTCAGTGAAGTAATTGAACACACTGAAATGTTTTATATGTAATAATCCTTCAGGCAGGTGTTTGCATCGTCTCCACTGGAGGCTCAGGTCTGTTCGTGGCAGAAATTAGTTTATTCAGATTCTCTCATTAACACGTCAAACCGCTGGTAAAGACAGCTAAACACAAAGTGACATGAAAATGAGGGCAGAGGCCACATCACTTCCACCTTTGGTCCC